CCCCAGCAGAGAAGGCACTGAGGAATAATTCATTTATACTCCTGTTTTTCTCTCATATTCTTCTTTAGATGAGTACAAACAGACCCCAGCGGCCTTCTTGCTTCTCCCCAGCCGCGCGTGCTGGGCGCCGCTTTGTGCAATCCCTCGCGAGCGGGTGCACGTGCCGGCCGTCCTGCCGAAAGCCCTTCTCTCCCAGCGGGAGGTGGCCGAAATACTCGGTGCTTGATGCCAAAATACCGGCTAACTGTTGGTTAGCTCTCCTCATGCTGCTGCATTTGTCTAAGTAATTCCTCTGATTATCACAGAAAGCCCTATTTTTGCCCCGTAGCAGTCCGAGGGCAGCGGGATGCCTGCTCTTGGCCTGTGTAGCAGCGGGAGGGCGATGGGGACAAGCCGAGCTTGGGGGGACGCACTGGAGGAGGGGGATGATGCCGGGCGGCACCGGGTCCTGGTGGGGGTGCCGGGCCTGCCGAGCTTCCAGGATGGAAGGAGCAGCCGCTGGTCCCCAGGTTTAGTACAAAAACAGGACTAAATAATCCACGTTCCCTCTTTGTGTGCAGGCGGTCACCCGGTGGCACCGGCACTGGGCCGTGCCGGCCTGCTGCAGGTGAGGGAAGCCGCTTATCGGTGTGACACCAAGCCAAGGCTGATGGCATGTGGTGGCATCAGCTGGTGATGCCGGAATTTATTTATTTTGCCTCTTGCTCTAACTTCTGTCCTTAAAGCTTTGGCAGCGTACCCCCCCCGATGGGTGAGTGCGGGGCTCGGCTATCGCAGAGCCCCAGTGTGATGCTCTGTACCAAGAAAACCGTATTCCCCGCAGCACCGCGGGGGCTCGCCCCGTGTCTGGAAGAAGAGAGACCAGACCAGTCTCCCAGGGCTCAGCCCAGGCCGGTGGATCGGCCACGGATTCTACTTTGGCTTGAGAACGGGAAGAACGAGTTGTTGTGTAAGAAATGGGAGGCGAGCCAGCGTCTGAAGGATCTGCATCCTTTGCCCTTTCAGCACCTGCAGCTCCAGCATTTTATCTTGCTGGCACCTCGCATGGCAGCTCCGGGTGTCCCGGTGTTGCACCCAGCCAGTGTTTGAGCCCAAGTGCCGAGTGATGCTGTCGCAGGGATGCAGCTGTGATCCTGAGTGGGAGCTCGGTGCATTACTGCTCTGCTCTGCGCCCCAAAACCTGCAGTGCCCACGGCCCTGGCCGCCTTCAATGTGCTGGGACGTCTTCGCCATCAGACACTGCGGCGTCCCTGGCTGGGTTAGCCGACATCCCACTCGGTACGTTACAGATCTAACAGATGTTTTCATCTACGTGTCCAGGTCCCCGAGGGTTTCACGGCTGTGATGAGTGCCACGAGCTGGGAGAAGCAGAAGGATAACACCTTCGTCTTCAAGATGTCCCAGCCGATTCCCTCCTACCTGATCGCTCTGGCTGTTGGGGACATTGTGTCTGCTGACGTTGGCCCAAGGTAAGTGGCTCTGGAGGAGACCCCAGCGTTAAGCCCTGGCTGTGGGAGCCACACGGCGAAGCTCCCATGCCGTGCCGTCCCGTGGCAGCTG